TCCACTCACCTCAGCCTCCCAAAGGCGCGGGATGACAGGCTGAGCCATGGAGCCCGGCTGGCTGATTTTTTTTATTTATCGTAGAGACAAGGTCTTGCCAAGTTGCCCAGGCTGGTCTCCAACCCCTGAACTCAAGCCACCCTCTCGCCTCAGGTGTGAGCCTCTGCGCCTGACTGTAAAAAAATTTTTTCTAACTTTTTTATTCATGTCACTTGTGCCATCTGAAATGCAAGAATCAGCCAGGTGCGGTGGCTCCTGCCTGTCATCCCAGCACTTTGGGAGGCGGAAAGGAGGGGATGGCCTGGCCCCAGGGGTTCGAGTCCGCCTGGGCAACTTGGTGAGATCTCATCTCTACAGAAATAAAAATTAAGACACGATCCGGGCATGGTGCTGCGTGCCTGTAGTCCCAGCTACTCCCGGAGGCTGAGGCGGGAGGGTGGCCTGAGCCCAGGAGCTCAAGTCTGTGTTGAGCCGCGGTTGTACCACTGGACTCCAGCTTGGGAGACTAAAAAATCTGGAAAATGCAGGGCCCTCCCTCTGCTGCCCCCTTCCTACCGTCTGTTCTGAAGCCTCCGAAGCCCCCACCCCGGTACCGCGCCCTCGCAACTTGGGGTGAGATCCTGAGGACTTGCCAGGAGCTGTGTGGGCTGAGGGGACCCTCTCTGAGGAGCGCGGGAGGGGCGGGCGCTTCCTGTGGGTTGCCCACCGCGTCCAGACGGACCCCACTTCAGAAGTGGGGCAACCAAGGCTCAGGAGGAAAGCCCCTCCCCAGAGCTCTGGCCGGAGCCTAAAGGTGGACACATCAGAACGTCTAGGGCGCCGAGGCTGTGGCTCTCAGCGGCCTGGAGAGCTCAGGCCCCCAGGGCACGCGGGGCCGTCCTGTCCACTCCACCTGATCCGGCTGTGTCCTTCACAGCGATGGCCCTCCGGGCCTCGAGAAGCCATGTGCCGGGCTGGGGTGCTGTCAGTGGCCGTGCAGCCCTGTGTGAGTGTCTGGTCCCGGACCCAGGTCCCTCTGGCTCTCTGAGGGGCTGAGGCCATGATCCCGTGGTAGATTTTTCTACAAGGGGGGGAACCTAAAAAAAACTGCAGTTATCTTCTGGAGGGTGGGGGCCTTGCAGTCCAGGCGTCCCCAGCTGGGTGACTGTTCCAGGAACCATGGGCATCCGCGGACCAGCTGGCCTGGCTGGGAGAGGCTGCATCTGGCTTCAGTGAATGTTTTTGGAGAGTCTTTCAACGCGGTTGTCTGTTTCATGGGGGGTGACCGACGAGTGCCCCTGCCCACAGCGCGCGGAGCGTTCGGCAGTTTTTGACCAAACTCAGCATGACCCTTCTGCCCACCCTCCGTTTTCACCCGATCTCGTCCCAGCTGACTTTTTTGGCTCCCTAGAAGAAAAAAGTCCTCCTGGGGAAACATTTTGCCCGCATGAAAGAGGTGAAACAAGAAACGGCAGGAGCCCTCAAAGGCATTAAAATTGGCGAGCTCAAAAACGGTTGTGGTGGGGTGTGGTGGCTCATGCCTGCCATCCCAGCACTTTGGGAGGCGGAGGTGAGAGGATTGCCTGAGCTTAGCGGTTCGAGACCAGCCCGGGCAACATGGTGAGACCTCGTCTCTACAATCAATCAAAAAAATTGGCCGAGCGTGGTGGCGTGCGCCTGTGGTGCCAACTCCTTGGAAGGCTGAAGCAGAAGGATCGCCGGAGCCCAGCAGGTCATGAGCGTGCCGCTGCACTCCAGCCTGGGTGACAGAGTGAGTCTCCGACTCGAAAAGAAGCCAAACTGTTCTGAGCAGTGGAAAAGGCATCTTGACAGGTGCATGGGGTCAAACGCAGAGTATTTGGAAGGGCACTGAAGTTTGAACGTGGAAGAACGCAGACGTTTTATCAACAGGTTCTGCGTATTTTTGACTCCTTCATCTTTTCTGTCACAGTTTTGGGGCAAGTGGCAGTGAGGCTGCTGCTCCCCATACCTGGCAGCCCCTGTACCTCCGTCGGGGCTGAGTGTGGGGTAAATAAAAAAAAAAAAATGAGCCGGGCGTGGTGGTGCGCGCCTGTGGTTCCAGCTCCTTGGAGGCTGAGGCGGATCGCCGGAGCCCAGCAGGTTGAGGCTGCGGTGGCCGGGAGCGTACCCCTGCCCTCCAGCCTGGGCAACAGAGACAGACTCCGACTCCAAAGAAAGAAAAAGTGAAAGCAGAGTCTAAGGGCGGGTCCCCAAGGAGCCCGGGGACTGGCAAGGAGCCCCACGTGAGGTCCCGTCTCGGCCTTCCTGGGGTGCCCGGGGTCCCAGCTGCCCCCTGTGGTGCTCCCTTCGCTTTTCCCCTGACGTCCTTCGGGACGGGTGACCGTTGCCCCCCTGCCCAGCGGGGTCTCATAGCCCTGACCAGAGCCCACCAGGGCAAGGGGTCCTGGGAAGCGAGGGGGCCTGGCCCCTCCCTGCAAGGAGCCCATGGGCGCAGAGGAAGGGAGGAACCGCCCTGCCAGGCCTGGTCACTGTGCCCGGCTCTCCGCAGATCTTGAACCCGCCGCCATCCCCGGCCACCGACCCTTCCCTGTACAACGTGGACGTGTTCTATCCTTCCAACATTCCGGCCTCTGCACGACCGTACAGGTAGGAGCCCTCACCCCAGAGCTGGGGGCTGCGGGCCAGCCTGGAGGGCGGAGGGGGTCTTGTCCCCAGGCCCAGGGGCTGGTGGGCGCTCGTTGGGCCTGCCCTGCCTCCTGGAATGGGGGACATTTGCATGCCAGGGCAGGGTGTTCCCGACCCCCGACCAGGGAGGCAGAGGCCCAAGGACTGGACTGGGCTCCAGGGCCCGGCTGTGTTCGAATCCGGCTGGGGGACCCTGGCTGTAGGGACATCCCCTCTGGGTGCCTCGGTCCTCCTAGGACGGAGTGTCCGTGGAGGCTGGTGTGGCCCCCGTGGCCCCCCTGGCCCGTGTGGCCGTGGCCGGACAACCCTTGCCCCTTCTCTTCTTGCTTACCGGGCTGGCCCATTGGAGACTGGGAAACCCCGGGGCCGCCCCCAGGGTGCCCGTCTTGGGGTAACAGTCCCTGGAGGACTTCCCGGAGAGGCGGGGCCCGTGTGTGTCAGGTTGAGCCTCGCCT